AAACTTGCTAATTTATGTAAAGTATTAATATTTACATGTCCTAACCTATCATGACATAAGTTAGAAGACTCAATCAAGTAAGCAGAAGATTTATTTTTATTAATATCAAAATTACGAAGTACAGGCATTACATTCATTTTGAATAGTCCATTGGCTAAATACATTTTGCCTACAAACATGCCATTTTTGGTGAGTACAAACTTGTCAGATTCAAATACTAGCCCAAAGCCACTCTTACTTAACAAAGCTCCAGATACCAAGTTCTTGTAAATATCGGGAACATGCAGCACATCGATGAGTGTTACTTCTTTCCCTGATGTCATTTTCAGCACTACTTTACCTAAACCAACAACTTTTGATGTTGTCGAGTTGCCATGAATAGTTGTCGTCCATTGCTAGGAGTATAAGATGAAAACATCTCCTTATCAGCACAAATATGACGAGTAGCGCCCCGTATCAACTAACCATTCTCTTGAATTGTCATGTTTGCTTCAAATACAACAGTTGAGAGCATTAGTTTAGACACACAATTAGACAATCTGTCTTCCTTGGTCATGTGTACTTGGTCTTTTTTGTTTTGCTTTTTCTGTCGGCAGTCCTTTGCAATGTGGCTAGGCTTACCGCAGTTATGGTAATCTCTTTTGAATTTCTTGGCGTTGCTCTTTTGCTTGCCATTATCCCAAATGCTTTCTTTTCTTGCTAGTATTTGGCTCCATTAAATTGATTTTAGCCTCCATTTGCAGATTTCTTTTCAAAATTGTGATTATCTTCTTCAATTCTTAATCGTACTATTAGATCTTCAAATCTTATTTCCTTGTGTTTATGTTTCGGATAGTTTTTGAAATCTTTCCACATTGGTGGTAATTTTTTAATAATCGCAGCAACCTGAAATGACTTACTAAGTTTCATACCTTCTGCATGCATATCGTGCAAGATGATTTGTAGCACTTGGAATTGATTCATTATTGTTTTAGAATCCACCATTTTGAAGTCCAGGAATTTGCCTACAACGAATTTCTTCAACCCGGCATCTTCCATTTTGTACTTCTTTTCCAATGATTCCCACAGTAATTTAGCTGTCTTGACCAAACAGTATACGCCGTATAGTGTGTTGTCAGGGCAATTGAGGATGTAGTTCCTGCACAAGAAATCACTATGACTCCATGCATCGAATGACGCTCGTTTTTTAGAATCTGTTTCATTCTCCTCAATAGTTGGAGCATTTTCACTCAAGAATTTTGCTAAATTCTATTGCCTTCTCTTAAAATCCACTATCGTAAATTTTTTCGGTTTCTCCACGTGAGCATTATTAGGGGGTACGACAGATGCAGTATTACTTGCCATTATCGTCTTAAGATTGTTGGAAATAGGCAAGTAATAATATTACCGAGAATTAACTTGGGCAGAATAACGTCGTGAAAAAGTGAATGCGATCAAATGTTAATGGTTGAGGCAAGAGTTCGACTCTTTCTCCTTAAGACGATAATGCCCCGCATTGGTGCTGCCGGTATTCCGGCACTCATCTTCCAAGATACAACGACTTTGACTTGTAATAATAGCACTAAAAATTATAAGACCCGGCGAACCTAATCACATTTCTGATCTCTCTAAAAGTTGGAGGACTAAAATGAACGAAAATAATTTTTCGAGGCTGGAATGCAAAATATGAATAATGCAGGGACGAATGAATAATATCAGAAGAGGAATTAAACCAAAATTGATTTCGAAGTAAATGAAAACCGGGGTATATGGGCCAATTTATAGAAGTTGAAATGTTGTGTCCAAAAGACACGATAGTCAAAAAGTTGTGTCTTCAACAGACACAACCCATTTGGACTAGCTCAATCGTCACCGCCCTTTTAGAAGAATCCACGTGTCACACACAGAAATTTCGGAGAAAAAATAATAATATATTATTATAATAAAATAATATAAATAAAATATTATTTTACTAAAAAATATATATCAACTTGGCCCAAGTCCAAATCCAAATCCAAATCCAAGCCCAAGCCCAAGCCCACGACCCGTGCATGGACTTTGGCCCAACCTTAGTGCATGTAGGTTCTCTCCCCTTTAAAGACTATTGGTACCCCTTGAGACCCAAATCCAAGTCCAATACTTGAGCAATATAAAGTGATTTATATTCTTCTAGATTTGCTATGTGAGATTGACACTTTTCCAAATTTCCACCAATTTTTATTCCAATTTATTTCAACTTTAAGTAGTCATTTTTTGGCCTTAATTTCTCATTAACCATAAATTGGTTTTGAAAAATAAATGCATTACATTAATCTACTCATGGAGTAGAACATACTCGACCAAATAAATATTTTATCCAGCAAAAGGGACCCATCAAAATAATTGGTCAAAAGTTGGTCAAACCAATTAATCAAATCCAATTTTTCCAACAAAGCATAGTCTATCTAGTATTCGAACTAGCAAATTTCCATTTGAAGATGGATTAATAAACATATTCCAAAATACTCTACAATTTTTTGAAAGATCGAATGACAATTCAAACATCCATATCTCGAGGATTTTAGATATATGAACGTCTATTGAATATCCAGGCATTTCAGTCGATGCAATACGATTGATTTCCATTTATGCTAGGGGATTCCGCTAGGGAGTGGTTGGACTTGTTCTCTCCTAATAGCATAACAACATATAATGATTTGGTTGATTTTAAAAAAGAAAAAAATTTCCTTCCAAAGATAATTGTCAAATTGAGGGAAGAAATCATAAATCTTGCTTGGCATGATTCAAAGTATTACTACGAGGCTTAAGACAATGAGGTATGAAATCATAACTCTTGCTTGGCATGATTCAAAGTGTTACTATGAGGCTTAAGACAAAAATAAAGGGTTGCTTAGACAGCGTCTACAAGATGAGTTGCAGAAATGACTACAATTCCAATATTTCTACATTGGGCCTAATCCAACAGGTAGAATTACCTTCGGCTCTACTTGCACTGGGACACTCATGAAGAAGACACCGGGCCATGTACATAAAGTGTTGGAAAATTAGCAACTACTAGTGCACTATGGTCATCTGAAAGATCGAGGGAGAAGAAAGTTACACGATTCCACGAGGTAGACACACTAACAACAATGTTAGCTCAGCTTGCTACACCAACGAAGAATGTTGCATGTATTGTAGTTAACCCTTCGGTAAAGAACAAAAGGTAGTAACATATTCCATGTAATTGCCAAAAAAATTAAGGAAAAACTGAAACACAATGATGAGCCTGAAAATAGAATGGCTTTGATATGAATAACTATGAATCCCTAACGTAATTGAGAAATAGAAACAGGCTATATTTGATCTCATGCACGACGCATGACCACGATCAAGTTTTTGCCAACATTAAGTTTGACATATTCAACTCAAAGCAAGAATATATATCCTGATATACAATTGAGAAGTTCAAACTTTATAGATATATATTTTAATCTATTTATAATTAACTAGTTACATGTTAACATACAATACCTATTCTCAATGATTAATGCTATTGATCATTAGAGATCATCGGTCTAGATGATAGTGAATCATCCTCGATTGATTGCACTATGCAATAAAATGCATCACAACTCATTTGAAAAATGAATTCATATTCCACGAACACCTAGATCCGTGATGATCTCTTTTCATGATGAATAACGTCACTCATTCTCAACATGTTTTGAAGCAATAATTGCAAAACACAACAAATATTCGTAATAAAGATTTAAAAGTAGACGTGTTTTGACTTAAAATATAATGTTCGTCAAACGTTGAGGCCCTATTTGATTTGGCTTTCTTTTCTATGAAAGATGAAAATTAAAATCAATTTCCACATTTTTGCATGTTTGATTGACTAAATTTTCTATGTAATTGATTTTCCACATTTTCTTAGTTTTTGAGGAAAAGCTTTTCCTATGGGTTTGGTTGGAAAAACTTTTTTAAACAACTTTTATTATTATTATTATTTTTTTTTTTGGCAATGGAAATAAATTATATCTCCTTAATGGACAATTTTCATGAAAAAAGCCAAACGAATACTAAATATCCAAAATTTCAATATTTTCCAGGTGGGAAATTATACCAATCAAACACAATTAATTGATAACTCCCAATCAAATAAGTTCATAGGCAGTTCAATTCCCTAAAATTTATTTTCTTTCCACTCAATTTCATTCTTACAATCAAACGGACCCTAATGTTATGTTTTCTATTGAGTCAAAGTTGAATATTAATTTTAATCACATATTCACAACTAGTATACATTTATTAACCATACATTCGTGGAATTCAATACTACTCCTAAATAACTTACTAATAATTTTACTCGAACACTCCCAAAATATCATCTTAAGTAACTTCATATTACAAGTACAATCATATATTTTATCAAAAATTTTTAGCCCCTGTATAGTCTCCAATTTCTAAACTCGTTTTTCCTCATATCCATTTTTAATAATGAATTCCGTAAAATTTATAATTTTTAACAAATTTTTTAATCATATATTTTATCAAAATTTATTAAAAATATGATTCTTATTTAAACCAAACAGTGGTTTAAAATTTAAGTCCTTGTTTCGTGATCTTTAATTTATTTTTCATACTTATTTTTAACTATATATTTACACAATAAAATATTTTATAAGTAAATTTAAAATTTTTTCTTATTTTTTAATTACACATTTTTCTGGAAAAAATTATTCAAAACATATTTTTTTTTTTTAGTTTTAAGGCCACAAAACATGGGGCAGAGAACATTATTTGTTGAATCCCAAAGTAAGGAAATTTGATGAGTCAACCCATCCGGTTCTATATTAGTAGTACCCACCCGGTTCAAATCGCAGCCGCTTAAACCCTGAAAAACCTAAATACCCTTTTCTTCATCGCCCCTTTTTCTGTTCTCTGTCGAATGCTCTACTTCGGCCCTTTCTTCTTCACACACTACGCACTTCGAACCCACCAATCAGAAGAAATCAATTCATAAATTCACAACTGAGATGGTAAAGGTTTATCGAAACAGCTCAGTGGAGTGGAATCCGTCCGCTGTTGTAGCCCTAGCCACCAGCGCCGACGGCTCCCAAGTCGCCGCCGCTCGCGGAGACGGTTCACTTGAGATTTGGCTCGTCTCCCCCGGCTCCGTTGGATGGCACTGTCAGCTCGTAAGATGAAATCCGAAATCTTTTAACAATTTCTAATAAGAATTTTTTTTATGGGCTTTTTGAAAGAGTGAGAATTAATTTTTTGGGGGTTTTATATTCAGACTATACATGGGGACCCTAATTCGAGGATGTCGTCGCTGGTGTGGTGTCCATCGGGGCCAAGAGGTTCGTCATTGGGCCGGTTGATATCTTCCAGCATTGATGGATCGGTTTCTGAGTGGGACCTTTACGATTTGAAACAAAAGGTGCATATACACATAAACTATGCTTGAATTTCAGTACTGTGTGATTTTTGTACCGTAGAGCATAAGATTACATTTTAATATAATGAAAAGGAATGTTTAGCAAGTGGAATATAGCATTGGCTTTGCATCAAAATTTTCGAGGTTTGAAGTAAGCCATGGCCTCAAAAATGGTATTTAAGAAGTTAGAAGTTAAAACTGAACTTCCGGGTAAAGTTTGGGAAGAAACATGTAGTCAGAATTGCTGGCTTTTAGACTATTTGAATCGTAGCTTCATGCTTCTACATTTTTATGTTATCATGAAAGTGATGGTACTCCTTTCTCGGAAAAGTGGAAGATCATGAACAAAGCTAAATGCTGTATAATTTTGGTATTCATCTGCTGGAAAGATATTAATGCACTTTGTTCTGATTTGTTAAAGTTTGATGTTTGTCAAGTTAGACTTTTTATAGATACAAGATAGAAAACAACTGTTCACATTGTTCCCTAATTTATGTTAGTACTATTAGCTGCTGAAAGGGGAATATATGAAACAATGCTTCTAGTTATTTTTTTTTTATTGTTATATATTTTTTTAATTTGAGTATATTATTTTTATTAAAAAATTTCTTTCTTTGATATGTTTTTCTGCAGACAGTTCTAGATTCTATTGGTGTCTCAATATGGCAGATGGCAGCAGAACCATGTAATAATCCGCAGTTAAATGAAAAGAAGGAAATGAAGGTTTATGAAAATGGCCATGCTAGTCCTAGAATTAATGGTGGCGAGGATGATGAAAATAGTGATAGTGGACATGACAGCGATAGCAATGATTCGGTTGAGATTCATGAGGACCATGACACCAAGTACACTCGTCTTGCATTTGCTTGTGATGATGGCTGTATACGAATATACAACATATCTGACTCGGAAAAACTAACTTATAATGGAACATTGCCAAGGGTTAGTGGTGAGATAGCTTCCCCAGCTCGTCAGGATGATTTTTCTTCCTTTTTTGCTTAAGTTGGATAGAATTGGTTTGATCATTTCTCATTAACTCACAGGACGTGCTTTAAGTGTAACCTGGAGTCCTGACTCACGGAGGATTTATTCTGGAAGCAGTGACGGGTATGTTGTACTTATATGAACAATATGCATATGAATGAAGTGGTTATGATATCTAAATTATGTTGGTGTGGTAATAAATCCTAGTGTTCTATGGATGAAAGCTTATGTTGGTTTGGATGTAATTATTTTGAAGTTTTTTTGGTTTCCCAGGTTCATAAGATGCTGGGATGCTAAACTGGCTCTTGAGATTTATAGAATAACCGTCGGGCTTGGAGGTCTGGGTAGTGGTTCTGAGCTCTGCATATTGTCATTACTTGCACTTAGGTAAAAGTTCCGTTCATTTCACCCACTTGATAATATCTGTATATGAATGTTCGGGTCGTGTTACCTTATTTTTAAAGTCATCAGAAACTTTTCTTCTTTTCCATGCTGTTTATATTGCATTTTTTTGGATTCAGAAGTGGGACCATTGTCAGCGCCGATAGTTCTGGCAGTGTGCAGTTTTGGGATAGTCAGGTTGGAACTCTTTTTCAGGCACATTCTTGTCACAAGGGTGATGTGAATGCTCTTGCAGCATCACCTAGCCATAATAGAGTGTTCTCTGCTGGTTCAGACGGTCAGGTACACATGCCATCCATTTTGAAGTAATTATATGCATGAAATTTTACATATTAGCTGTTAATGTGTGTACCAACAGCTTCTAAGAATGATATGTGTGTACCAACAGCTTCTAAGAATGATATTTTGAAGTAGCGTTAGCTGCTTGGTTTTAGTCAAACTCCGTGGAACTTCATTCAATGCAGAAATCAAATGCTTCTCTTTTATTTTCTGGTAATTTCTTCGTAATAAAGAATGCTTCAGGTTGTCTCCCCTTTGGAACTTGTTAAGATTGCAAAATATGTAATGTCTTGCTCTAAATGGTAATGTCTTGATCTAAATGCTTAGTGCAAACACATAAGTTTTTCATAATCTAGTGGTCAAAGTCGGACATTAATTAACAACGTATTTTTTAGGACCCACAATTAGTACAATGGAGTTTGTTTTGCTGTTGGTTTATTGTGTTTTTTGTTACAACAGTAAATTTGGAGCCTGAATGTGCTTTTACTGTAAGAATATGAAATATCCAATTATCTATTTTTGGGAGGTGAATTCCAAATGAGGCAAGAGACGGTAAAAAATTCACCTGACAACACAATTTTAGTGTTGAAAAAAGAGAGGCTAATACTATTTATTTACTTGTTTATCTGCTTGCGTTGAAAAGCTTACACAATTTAGTTTATCTTGTAAAAGTGTGATCTGGAATGAAACATGTGACACTTCACATCACTTCATGGTATAAAATATAGCAAAACTGAGTGAGCATCACGGCGGACGTCAACTGAGTTGAAAAACCACCCAAGTCCACGTGGAGAGTACAGAGTAATAGTTGAAATAATAATATGTGATTGTTTAATGTTGCTGATGAGACACTTGGGCTTGTATGACCATCAAACTAGGACCTGATATGTTAGTGATTCAATATAGTGCTTGTTTGGTATAGTTACAATTATATTTAAACAGCAGGTCCCACTGAATTTCTGAAATAAAAGTGGGTAGTAGTTGCGGGTCCTGCAAAATGTGTGTGCATGAATAAAAAGTAAGTTTGACTAAAAGTGATTATAATTTAAACTCTCCCCAAACAAGCTCACTCTATTCATCGTAGTAGAAGAAATATTTTATTATCCATCTGTTGGCTTTTATGCTCTCACCATTTGTGAGAACAATATAGATATGGAATATGGATGATGCTTAGATTGTTTAAAGACATGGAGCAATAATATTGTTTCTTCAAGAGATGGCTACCAAGTTGATGGAAATTTAAAATGCCCAAAACTTGTTAGCAGCTGATATTTGTTTTGGCTACGTTCAAGTGTGTTGGTGTAGAATGGCTAATGATTTTTAGTTCACTTATGTACTAATTTAGTAGTAAGTGATGTGTCCACTAATCTGATTGCCCTTGATCGAATATTGACCAGCATTTTATTAATATATTGATAGTACTTTGGTTACTCCACCTCTGCCTGTCCTTGTACAATGCTTCTCCCTGCGTGGCTTTGTTACATTGCCTTATTAACTTGTTTACTCGTGACTAATAACAATTTGTGCAAGTAATGATAATTGAGATGCTGATGCTGTAGGTTATACTCTATAAGATTTCTAGTGATGCTGTTGGCTCTAGTGATGGCAAGTTTGTTTCTGATCCAATTAAGAAATGGATCTATGTTGGCTATGTGAGATCTCATACACATGATGTGAGGGCCTTGACTGTAGCGGTACCTATCAGTCATGAAGGTTGGTTTATTCTTTAAATAAGAAAAATTGTTTGGCATTATGGAATGATTTTATTGTGTGCTGTTCTTTCCTTTTTCTTCTCTCACTGTTCCTTTTGTATTCTTTTTGGGCCTGGGAATTCTAATATTTGTTTTCCCGAGCAGATGTCTTTCCTGATGAAAAGGTAAAGAGGGCCCGTGGCAGGATGAAGCCCCTTGACTTTAGTTACCATAAGTGGGCCCATTTAGGTGTACCCATGCTTATTTCAGCTGGTGATGATACAAAACTTTTTGCGTATTCTGCCAAGGAGTTCACCAAATTTTCTCCACATGATATTTGTCCTGCACCGCAGAGAATGCCCATGCAATTTGCTACAAAAACATTTTTCAATCAGACTCCATTGCTTCTTATCCAAGCTTCTTACTGGTTAGATATTTATTCCGTTCGTGTAAAGAAAGATGTCTCTGACGTCAGTCCAAGCTCCTCTCCTGGGCTTGCAACCACTGATTTGGTGGCAAGAATTAAATGCAAAGCTTCTCGGAAGATAATTTGCAGTACGATTTCTTCATCAGGCACTTCATTTGCTTATTCTGACCATATGAAATCCAATCTATTTGAATTGAAAGGGAGTAAGTCAGGCAAGCATGTCTGGACTGTAAAGAAAAGGAAGCTCCAGTCAGAATTGCCATATGCCCATTGCATGGCTTTTAGTTCTGACTCTTCACGTTTATTGATAGCAGGGCATGATCGGAGGATATACGTATGTCCTCTCTTTATATATTTTCTCTTACTGCATTTTAATTTTTATTTGGTCCTCGTGTGCAACGGTACATTTCGATTTATTACTTGTCATTTTTTTGCCCTTTTCCTGTCCACATGCATACATGCTTAAATATCTCCAGGCCTATCTTACTATTGATGAGAAATGGCTCAGGGAGGTTATGTTTATGGCTCAACTCATCGAGATTTTATGTCATGCATCGTTATTACTTGCCCGAAGTATGTTGTATAAGCTGTTTCACAAATCTAAAGGCACAAACGACACAAACTCATGCATCATAACCTCTTGTTGGTGCATTTAGTCTGTTATATAACAAGAGCCCCAATTCAGAAACAATTTGGTATGAACTTTCATTCGCTGAAATTAACTTGTTATGAAATGTATGAAAAATACTTAGAAGTAAGTGATTTGTTTGAGTCTTGCTTAATTACTGTTTAGAATGGCCGTATATAAGGAATTTCAGAAACAGGAATGCTTTTGATAAAGTAAATCTATTAGTGGAATATAAATTCATGTTGATGTTGGGATGTTATTTTGGGGTATATACTGTGCTAAATTGGATTACTAATGAAAGAGTGACTTCTATGGGTGGGAGTCACTGGTACAACTTAATACTCAGTCATCCTTGGAATACTAAGATAAGGAAGTTGGAGGAGCGTCCTGGATGTGGTTTATTTAAGGGACAGGTGTATGGAAAATTAAATATTTGGAAATGCCATTCCCCATGCACTTAAGGTGTCTTGAAAGTATAAATCACTAGTGAATTGCTACCCCCTTGACAAGTAATGCAATTTTGCACGTGCAAGAATCAGGGCAGTTGGTGTTTGCCCTTTATCCTTTTAAGGTGATATGTTATTTGGTGGAGGCCTTTTTGTTGTCATGGCATGAGTGCCTAATGTGAAAATTGAATGACAGCAATTTGAGATTCTGATGTTAAGTGGTCTCATGGAGTGTATGGAGCTGAAATTGTTTGGAAAGGTGAATTACTTTGTTATAAGATTTGAATGACTAAGTAGTCGTGATTGATGAATCTTTTTCTTCTTTATATATCTTGACTCCTCCATACACATGGCCTTGCTTTGGTGCCTTGTCAATATAACTAACCTTTACATCCAAATATTACTGAAGGAAGCATTTCGACCATTCAATTAAGTGAAAGTTTGAAGTATCTCTTAATCTTCACATGTTACTGTATTTTTTTTCATATTTCAATGGACTGGCTGTCTATAGTTATCAATTATATTGATTTTTACTGTGAACAGTCATATTGATTGTTATTGTAAAATTGCAGTTCTGCATACTTTCTTTTTTAAAACATGTATAATATTTGTGTAGATTCTATTTATCATTTATTATTTTGAGCAAAAGAGTAAGTCTTATTAAGTCTTGATGAATTCTACTTTTATGGTGCACTAATCCTTTTCAACCAAAAATACATAAATGAATGAAGAAATAAATCAAATTTCATAATGAAGTTTGCATGATATAGGTTTTTGACTACCTAAGTTATGGCAGTCAATGTGTTTCAGCAATTCAATCTCTTAAACCATTTTATTGTCGTTTTCAGGTAGTGTATGTGGAAAGTGGTGAACTGGTTCATGCATTCACTCCTTGTCGTAGAGACCAAGATGAGGAATTGCCACCCAGTGAACCTCCTATCACAAAAATGTTCACAAGTATTGACGGCCAGTGGCTGGCAGCCATCAACTGTTTTGGAGATGTTTATATATTTAATCTGGAGACGCTAAGGTTTTAAATGCACTCTGATTGAATTCATTTTTTCCCCTTTCCTCTAAGTAGAAATAATTGTACTTTTTCTCGTAACTCTGGATAAACAAGAGTATGATTGGTAAATTTTTATGGTGGCTTGAAAACAAATTCATGAGAAACATGATGTTACTGGACTTTTAAAATAAAGATATTACTAATGCTTTTTCATAGTCTTGAAGCTGCAAAGTGAAGATACCCTGCTTTAAAGCCAACTCTTATTTCGGCGATTCCAGTCATTAGTTGTCATCTCCTAGACATACTACTTACTAAAGTGAAACCAAAGAAACCCTAAATATAGAACTATGAATCTAGTGTAGTTTTCCTGTTTATACATGACATCTGCCGGTTGTTTCAAAAGCGATTGAGAGCTTATTCTTTGAGCTGCACTTTGTGAGACGTTTTCATTAGGAGCCAAATACCTTATGCTTCGTATGGCCTTTGTCAAGTCTTATAGAGGGCAGCTGAGGTGTAGCTGTGCCCTTTCAAGCCTCAGCCTTTCGAACTAGTTGTTCATTCATAGCCCAAATCATTTACCAGCCTCAGCTTTGTTAGTTTATTATTTGCTACTTCTTGATCCATTTTATGTTTCAAGCTGCAAATCAGACTTCTAAATTTGTAGAAATGTAATATTATGGATTTTTTTAGATGGTTTACAGTTAAATATGAGGATAAATTTTTTTTTATATTGTTTTGAATTGTTGTATTGGTTTATGCAGATCCCTATGCCTTGCTAATTTGATTTTTTTCTTTTTTTGGTAATACTAATTGTTTTGGTAGCTTTTTGTTCAACTATATGTTGTCTTCTCTTTGATGATACCTGGAGAGTTGAATCATGTTCTGTAATAAAGATGTACTGATGCTTTTATAATTGTAAACCAAAATATGAGGGGGCCCTATTTCCATATTGTAGTTACTTTGAGCTGCTGATTAAATCTCTCTTGGATACCTTGATAAAATGTTTTTTGTTTTTGCTATAGGCAACATTGGTTCATATCAAGATTGGATGGGGCCTCCGTTACAGCTGGTGGTTTTACTCCACGGAATAGCAATATTCTCATAATCTCCACTTCTTCAAATCATGTTTATGCATTTGATGTGGAGGCCAAACAGTTGGGGGAGTGGTCCATGCGGCACACATTTTCTCTGCCTCGAAGATATCAAGAATTTCCTGGAGAAGTTATTGGTCTTTCGTTCCCACCATCATCTAGTTCATCATCTGTTATTGTCTATAGTCCTAGGTAATTTTCTTTCCATGAGTGAATATCCCCTATGTTCTCTTCTTACCCTATAATCTTGTGCTCTGGTGACATTTAACTCGTAAATGGATTTGAATAAATAGTCAGAAGTTATTTATAATTAGAAACTATAAAACAACATTTAATTTGGCAAATTTGGGATTGCTGCTGATAATATTTATCGTCGAGCTCCATCTTGATTCTCTATCTGTATGAGATGGAAAGTAAGGTTCAATAGCTAATCAAGTGCTAAGACTTATTAAGTTCTAATGTGAAGTAAAGACTATAAATGCAATACTCATTATTTTCTTTTTCTATAATTATTCCCTGGACTATGAAGAGGACTACAAGTGTCATCTAACCAATATTTTTGTCCTTGAACCAAGTGCGTTTAAACCATAATTTGACCAGGGCTTTTAGTTCTTGCAGAATAAGAAAAAGTCAGCATTTTACAGAAGACTAAGCTTAACAATGGGATTGCCGTATGATTACAAAATTAGTATCTTATATAACTTGTTTAAATATTTCTCGAAATGATAACTATCTTTGGTACTTCATTCAAACTATCACAAAGTTGTAAAGCTTTTTGGACGGATGAAGAATGATTTTAGAATAAATGGAAGTGTTCTATGGTTATATACTGTCATGTTGCAACTTGTTTTATAGTATCTGCGATATTGATGTATTTGATATTTTTGTGGAGTAATTAAAACTTTGATATAATGAGTACTGCAAACAAATTCTTCAATAACTCTGTATCAGAACTATTGATTATAGGGCATGGACAAAATAATTGATTGATGAGTTCATTAATTAGTCATATGTTTTTAAGCTGACTGTAAATAAATCTATCACGATTGGTGGTTTTTCTTCTCTTTTGCAGCTCGCTCTTTTATTCCCATTTCTGACCATATTGAAAATTTGGATAACCATGTCTGGAGCTTAGTACATTAAAATGAAGTTTAGCTCTTCTGTTTGTTTTGTTTCCTTGTGTAATCTATCACATACACATTTCTATCATAGCTGACAACTTATGATGCTTATGTTCCAGGGCTATGTGTTTAATCGACTTTGGGATGCCAGTTGATAGAGAGGATGACACTGAATTGGCAAATGGTGAGGACTTGGCGTTGAGAATGTTGCAGTGCAATGGAAAACTAAAGCGTAAATTGAAAGATTTTGAATTAGAAACTAGACAAAGCGGTAGAAAGAACTTTGAATTCTGTGCTTTCAGAGATCCTGTTTTATTTGTCGATCATCTTTCTAGAAATTCTCTCTTGGTCATAGACAAGCCATGGATGCAAGTAGTTAAGACTTTGGATACTGCACCGGTTCACAGACATATTTTTGGGACATAGGTACACTCTTATTTCAGGTGGTCTTTATTACATCATAGGCAGGAAGGTTCAGATTTGGCCTTCAAATCCTTTTACTCCAGTCTTCCTTCTGGTCACGTTTGATTTTGTTGGGGGTGGGGGTGGCAACGTCAGGTTGTTAGTCTGGGGCATGTTGTGCAATGTAATCCTTGATAGTCTGCTAACATGTTAGTTTATTATTATTTCAATGTGTTTTTAAATTACAAGGACTTCTACATGTTTCAGTCTTTAACTTTTATTAATTTGAAGTTTTTTGACATGTACATTGATAGGGACAATAATTCTGAAAATTTTGGTTGTCATGTCTTGTTGCTTGTGTACCTTCCAGTTTGGTACTTGTTCTTTATCGTCTAGTCCTCTTTTAGTTTGTACTTTTTCACTCAACAGCGACACTTATCGTTGTAACTCAAATATGTGAAAGTTCTCATAAAAGCTTTTCAAAAGACTTGATCCAAGCCATTTCGTCTGTATGGTGGCTAAGTCTTCAGAACAATATATTTTTGTTAAATCTTGCTTGACATTTTTTTAGAGATGTAATAAATGATAATAGTTTGTTATTTTCCACTCATTGGTTAGATGCATGATTGGTACCATTCTCTTTGCATATCAGTTTTTATGGACTTGGATTAAATTCAGATACCCTATGAATTTTTTTGGATTAAATTCAGATACCTGTATGAATTTTCAATTATCTTTCAATATAAATTTCTTTTTTAAACTATACAATTAGCCTGTGTTTGGTAGGGCATTAAAATTCGGCTTTTAGATTAAGTTAAAGGCAACAATTAATTTTAATCATATATTTGATGGGAGACATAAGTTTTAAATTATACATTTTATTAATTTTTGTCAAAATTTGCTAAAAAATTGATTTTAATTTTTGCCAAACGAGGGTTTGGGCATTTGGGACTGGCGATGAAATACGAAAGGAAAAGTTATAGCTGGGCTCTCTCTATATCCTTCAAATTAGTGTGGTTTTGACTTCCTAGTTTTATAAAGTGGAGTTTTGGGGTTTTAATCTATTTAAATAGGTGATTTTGTTTTTTTTTTTTTTGGCAAAACGTTAATGTGGACGTTGAAATAGTAAGTGAAACTCTTCACGTTAAAAATGTGAATTTTAGTTGCGTGAGAAGTTTGACTTTATGTTGACAGTTTTTATCATGTGAAGACTCGGATTAACATATTTAACGTCCAAATTAACAATTGCCTTTGTGTAAATATTGATGTCCTTAAAGTTTACATAAGTTTGTTACATTAAATTGAACATGACTAAATACGACAACAATTATGGTAAAAAAGACGGAATGTAATTGAACATGACGATTGACAAATTGTCGTTTCTTCATTTTAATGTATCAAACATCATCCCTTCATCATCTTGAGAAACAACCTTTATCGCGTGTGACATTTATTTAATTTAGAAAGATTAAGGTTCAAGTAGTATTCTCTATTTGTCATTTTTCATCATTCTTTCTGTTATAGCAATTAACTACTACTGAATGGCATAGAATTGTCATTTACTGGTGAAAATTAAAATTGAGGACCCCAAGTATTTTAATTTGGCACATGAAAAATTGGGTCCATTCTACTTTTAATAGTATGGTTATGACAAAGCATAACATTGGCTTAGGGAACTTTTCGTTCATACTGCACTTGTCCATAACATGATTTTGTTGTGTGGTTGCTTCCATTTTTCTGATATTCTTTTTATTTTTATTTTAGTTTGTGACTATATTCGAGAGTGTTTTGAGTGTTTGTTCAGGTCTATAACGAGCATGTTTGGAAAGTGTGCATAAATGGCTTAAATTAAAAATAGATAGAAATGTGACGACATTCGAGAGTGTTTGTTTAGGTATATAACAGCCATGTTTTGGAAGTGGCTTAAATTTAAAAATAAATAAAAATGAGTGATTGATAAACATGAAGTATTTCTAAGTCTCATGAAATGTGTAAATAATGAGTGATTTGAGTATTTATAAGCATGAGCAAATATAAGCTTAATCGGGCCATTGTTTGGTATTTAGATTTGGATAAAATGGGTAAAGAAGAGTAGCTCAAACTAAAGTATTCATATCATGTAGTTGCATATAGTGGTGTCAAGCTGCTCGGCTCGTACTGTTCACGTCCACGAACCGCTCTGGCTCGTCAAAAAACGAGCACGAGCCGAGCGGTCGGGCTCGCTAGATGAGCTGAGCCGGCTCGGCTCGTATCGTATTGCTCATGAACTGCTCGTGAAGCAGCCCACAAGCCAGGCTCGTGGGCTCGTTAAATGAAAAAAATTAAAAATCCGTGTGACCAGAATGGTCACTTATATAATTTTTTAAAATTTTTTTTTTATTTTTCTAATTTTCTTTTCCTATAAATACCCACCAAACTTTCATTCTCTACTCTACTCTACTCTACTCTCTACAATTTATTTACAAATCATTATCATCATTCTATAATATATATTCTTCTACATTTTATTTTTACACTGTCAAGTTAAAATCTTAATTTTACAATTTATTTTCTACAATACTACATAATCTTCATTCACTTCTCAATTCTACTTTAAGTCTTAAACATTCAATTTCAATTATTCAAAAATAGATCAACAATCGTTTGTTGAAAACTTGTTCTGTGTCGGAGGAGAAACACTCGCTCAAAGTCAAATTGGGATTGAATTCATCGGTCTAAATGAATTACCCCTTCCAGAAAATATTCAAGATTTCGACGTTCATGAAGGTAGTCATCCATTGATTTGAATGACGTTGATGTTGATGCTAGTCATCTAATTGATTTGGAAGTCGATGAAGAACGTGCAGTAGATATTCCTGATGCAAGAGTGAAGAGAAAGGTGAAGAAGCTGACAAAATGTTGGGACCATTTTAAATTGGTTCAAACTGGTCGGTGATCAATAGAGTTCCAAAAACCAAGGCAGTATGTAA